TGTGAAAAAGCCATGTTCTTTAAATAAGGACTTTTGAGAGTAATTTGGACATATTGCTTCAACGTTGCATCGATAAATCTGCTCTAATATATCATTTTGTTCAGTTTTTAATTCTCTTTCGAATGAATTATTGCTCAAAAAGATTAGGCATGTCGTGTTTGAGTTATAGTTAAAATACTGAAAAGTTGTACGAGACATAGGTGTGTTCGAAAAATGTCCGTGGTCCTTCGAAAAAAACGTCATAATTTCTCAGTCGAAAGACATTGAAAGCTCAAAATTTAGATTTACACGTTATTCGGGATGGGGAATCGAATGAGAACGCTTTTAGAGAGAAAAAAATTTCAGCTTGTTATGATCCTTTGAGCAGGTGCTGGATGAACTGGTGGAGCCCCTTAACAACAAACGATTTAAATAAGTCTCTTAGTCAAATGCTGAATAAACTCCCAATATCATGTAACACCGATGAATATAAACAGAATTGACTTTCGCGGTTACTATCTGAAATAGAAGAAAACAACATTGAAACGAGATTTAACGAGTATTGTACAAAAAAATCTAAAGAAGTTTCAAGTTTCGCTTTCTGGTATTAGGTTTTTCGTATTTTGCTCGAACCTTGCCTTCAATTACTGATGGAGGTGAGAAGCGAAAACTACAAAACCAAAAATGCCTGTTGGAGCCGCATGGTGCCTCTGTTTTTTTGCACACAATCGACGAAGATATACAAGACTCGGAGCGCGCAATCTGGCAGATCTCCAAACCATGTCTGCATCGCTTCATCACCACTTAGAAAAATCATTTGCAGTCAAAAGAACGGCTCGTCCATTTTCCAGTATTCCTGTCGACCAAGCGTTGGAGTGTTCAATAAATCGGATAGGTAAGGTTATACTAAGTGCAAGTCGACTAAAACACACTGCTTAGAATAATTGGCTTTATTACTTCCATTACTAAAGTAATTTTTTATACTTTAGGAAAAGGTAGAAACGGAATCAGTGGCCAGTTCAGTAAACAAGAGATAGATCGATTCTGTCAAACCCTGGTATTCCGTACGTTGGTTTATTCAGCTATTAATGACATCGTGGAAATTGATACCACTCACAACGATGGCCACCTTGAGTGTCAAGAAAATCGACTGAAGACCGATGACACAGATCTCAGACAACTGATAACGAAACTGAGCGATGAAAAGATATTTGGCGACCAAAAACAGAATGTGACCGAGCTATTTACGGGCAGGATAATACACCCTGACATCGTGAACAGTATTGTAACAAGTTATGATCGCGGCGAAAAAGAACTAAAAAAATTCATTCAAGACCGTCTGATTGATAAAATAATCGATATCAATGCCAAGATGCCGAAAATAGAAACGCTGAAGCTAACCGACACGGACGCCTATGGAACGAAAAACCCAAAATCACAGAAAAACCAGTCAATATCTCGAATCGAAAATACGTGATATTGTTGTATTGAGTACGCAAAATATGGATATAAACATCGTTGAATTTTTAAAATATGAATATGCTCATATACCACCCTCATTGTCCGACCCATCAAACCTCCTAAATCAATCAAACAAAGGCAAAGTTGTTGAATATTTCATTCAAAATTATCCCCGAGGTTTTAGTTTCGTTCCATCAAAACAACAATTAGAGAAGTCCGTCCTGTTGCTTCATGGAGGAATATTGTTACAGCACAAACCAAAACAGAACGATACAGTCGAGTCATATGCAACAAATATGTTGAATAACATCATGAAGATGGCCACGTTACATGAAAGAGTGTACGTATTATTTGACTCAGACGAAAGTAAAAGTTAGTAATTTAGTTAACACACTTTTGGTGGCTATTGGTTGATTACTGTTGTATACCATTTTTAGCCACGAAATTGTTCGTAAAACAACGTGCAAATAGCAAGAAAAATACGCATCAGTTAGAGATTACCTCAAGACTCGAACATCGAAAGGACACGTACAAAATCTTTATCAATGAAAATCAAGCAGCCTTAGCTTTGTGCGTGCGAAATGTGTGGTTGAAATCATCACATTTAGTACCACAAAATAAAATCGTATATATTGCAGGTCCCGATCAATATTGTTATCGTTTAACTTCATTTGGATGCCAATCGGATACCCTACTTCAGTCGAATCAAGTTGAAGTAGATACTCGATTGTTTTTTCATGTGAAGAATGTTGATGACTTTTGTCACTACCAAACAGTCGTTATTCAGTCATATGATACAAATATACTGATCATGGCATTATAGAAAACCCTTAAAATAAACAGCGTGACACATATTTCAGCTACCGCCCTCTATCAAATTCTCTACATATGTTTGCCATGAGACGCTCTTTAATAGAATTTTACATCAGTTTTATGCTTCTAATTAAAATAGTTTCTTCTAAAATGCAGTTAAATGTTTTTATCTGTCGCCTAGGTCAAGAACTCTCCATGAGAGAGAAATATCGGCCTATAGAAAAACGAAACTGCTTGTCGTGACGCCGTAGATGTGTGCCTTTCCACTCAACCATCCTTCCGCCATTTTCACTGAAATGTAAACTCAAGAAATCGTCGAAACGGACGTTTGGTTTTGCGTCAAAATGCTATACTATATTTCTCTTCTCACAAGAGTTTAAAGCGAACTGAATGGTATCTATTTACAAAACGGTTCATTCTACTGGAGATGATATAAGACTACTTTTTGCACACTAGAAACGATGAATCGAAATCATGAGAATAGTTCGGAAGAAGCTCTCTCAAACTCTCCCTATAATGCATGCTTTTTCGATTGAATTTTTGCTAAAGCCACCTACTTTGTATAGAATTTATCGTCTTCCTTAAATTCAGTAACGATTTTCAGTCTGTGATTTACGATTTTAACGATTTGTTTATTTAGGTTTTGTTAGATGTTCAAGAGTTAATTCACATTTATACGAATATTTTGAAGTTTGTATACCGAAACCATTAAATTTAACACCATCCATTCAATATGATAACGACATATCAATAAATGTTATTGAGTATGTTGGTACAGCACCAGCTGCTTTTGATTTAATTCCAGATCCGTTAATATTTTTTCGAGAATCATTAAAGCGTATTGATACAGTTGATGGTAAAGCACCCACGCAGCTAATGTTGCCCAATACATTTTTGAACTGCACTGGAAAATTACGATTTTTTGATAATAAAATACTCTATATTGATACGCCAGCTACGCTGGGCTTCGGCGGGGGATTATGTTTTCTACAATCAAATCCAAATGAATGGGAATTTATAGGTATGTTATTAGGAACAACGAAATTATGAAATTATTGTATATCATTAACAGCATCATCAGCCTATAATTCATATTATGAACTGTTTGCAAGTCCAAAACAAATTAGAACAACCAACCAAGAATTTTAAAATGTATTTTTGTCTGTTTCTACATATATTGTTATTTGTCTTATTATTTCTGTAGACTATCCTTCGATAAATGAATGTTTTTTTGTTATTGCATAAGACTGTTAACGTTAGTTATATTCGTAAAGATTTGCACGGACTACGCTCCCTATTTTTCAACAGTTTCTACTAGAAATGTACATGCTAGAGCTGAATCGATTTGGTCCACGTTTCATCTGTCCACTTTCAGCTACCGCCCTCTATCAAATTCTCTACATATGTTTGCCATGAGACGCTCTTTAATAGAATTTTACATCAGTTTTATGCTTCTAATTAAAATAGTTTCTTCTAAAATGCAGTTAAATGTTTTTATCTGTCGCCTAGGTCAAGAACTCTCCATGAGAGAGAAATATCGGCCTATAGAAAAACGAAACTGCTTGTCGTGACGCCGTAGATGTGTGCCTTTCCACTCAACCATCCTTCCGCCATTTTCACTGAAATGTAAACTCAAGAAATCGTCGAAACGGACGTTTGGTTTTGCGTCAAAATACTATACTATATTTGCCTTCTCACAAGTGTTTTATGATAGAAATAGGAGCTTTTAAATATGAGTTAAACATTTTAAGGGTGCACCTCTTCTTCAAGAAGAGTGTTTTTCGGCAATCCCACAGGTTAGTCTAGCAATAGACAGTAAATAAGAGAAGGAAGCGAGAAATTGCTTCGTTAGAGAATTGAACAGACAGTTTCCTGATACGTTGGAGAAATTTGGTATACATATTGGATTGAAAATAGATATTAATACTGTATCGAAATTGGTTTTATTGCTAAATCAGGAGGCTACACAGAGTTCTCCTTCATGGTTAAGTATGGATCAACTTGTACTGGTGACGGAGTACTTTCATCGAGCGGTGCAATATCAAACTAGACTTCCATATAATAATGAGTTAGAGAGAAAGAACAAAGAATAATAACCAAAATGTCGTGAAAATTAGAAAAAAGTTTTCATTTGAGCAAAAGTAACAACAGGTGGAAAGAAAAATAGAACAGTCTATAACCTAACCTATAGGTTAGGATCAACCTGCAGGGCTCTGCTCTAGACTCAGGATATCTGAAGCACTTAGGCTCATGTAGGTAATTTGTAGTGCCTCAAAGTAGACACAAGAAATATTTTCTATGCGACACAGCGATAAAACCGAAATCATTTTTTAGTCATTGAACTGAAACGTCGGATCAGTTCTATGTTTATAAGAGAATGTATTAAATTCTAGGTTTTACTGCTCTGAAATTAATTGTATAACAACGATACATAAGACCTCTATATCCTTGTCTACCAATGACGATAAGTTTAATTCTTCTATTGAATATTTTCATATGAAAACTACCTGCTTTTTCCTCGCAACGATTCAAGCCGGGAGACCGCGATATTCAGATCGGGCATGTCGAGAAACGGTGTTCACCTAAGTTTCGTCTTGAAGGCAGACAAAAAGTTCCTGTTGAAATTTTTGCCTGAGGTCCCCCTCAGGTGTTTTGCCTAAAATTTAGGACGAAAACTTTTTTTTCAAAATACGTCGAATTATATATCATTTGATGCAGTTTTTTCGTAGATTCCGAATATCACATTGGTTTTGTATAAAAATGCTTCTGAACGTTTGAAATTCAAATTTTTCACTTTTTCCGTGCATATATAAGTTCGTGCTCACTGTGAAAAAGAGAAAATATGTTTTTTTCTTCTCTCTTTTCTCTCTTCCCATATGATAAACACGTTCTTATTTTTCTATCGTGTCATCGATATAAGGAACATTTAGTCGATTTTTATATTTTGTGATTTGCGTGAGAAAAGAATGTTCGGAACGCGTATTGTCAGAAATATACGCGCTTCAAGAAAAACTTAATTAAGACAAAACTCGCTTTTCGACTTAATTATCAAATTCTAAGTTTATCGAGCAGATATTATTGAACATCATCCATATTTTGTACGTTTTGAAGCCTATGAGAATCTTCAATTGATTGGTTTATGGCAATATCCA